TTGAACGAATACAAGGAGATACGTCGTCTGTTTCGACTGGAACGACGTGCCGGTGCATTCCTCCAATGGGGATTACCTGCCCTTCTCTTATTTCTCATTGCTTACTTCTTGTACATTTTGTTTCGCTAAATCTCTCCCACTAGTGAACGGTTGTTAGGCACTTTGATGCTGCAAGTATGTGTTTCTGTCAGATCCGACAACATTAGTTCCGCATGGCTATTTTCATCCTTTGATGCAAAACGGAACTCGATACCTCTGTCCTTTGGCTATTTCCAAATGGTTCTGCAATGGATTTTCCCCCACTTCCTTCTCAGCAATACGCACAAACACGGTTGAGCACATTTTGCTACTTCCATCTGATCTCTTTAAACATTCATTATGACTTCTCAGGATCACTCGACCATCATTGTGGTTTGTGCCTACAAACTGCAGTTTCATGTTTTCAAACTGGCATTTTTCCCATTCTCGGTCGGTAAAGGTTTTATGTAGTTGCAGACCAACGATAACAGACTTGTTAGTTCACCTGATAGGCCGGCCCGTAGCAAAAGGTCCGTTTGTCATTTTTGCTCGTTTAGTTTTACTTCTCAGCAGTTGAAACAACTGCTTGTTATTTGAGAAAATCGCGTAAGGACACATGATGGTTGCTAACGAATTGGTTCTTTAACTTGGCAAATTTAAAAGAGCTATCTCTGCGGAATGTTCCGTCTTCATCCTCATTTCAGGCCGTTACACTGAATCCCGTTTTGTTCACGTGCAGTTGGTAAACCGCTATGCAATATACAACCAGGACTGATTTCATTCGAACGAAGGACTAGCATCAGTTCAATGTGGCTAGTTACGCAATCTAAGCTAAGGGAAAGCCAAACTTGAAACGTATGCGCGCGTGTGTAGTTTGCATGTTGATAGGACAGTTTACGATATCATTTCATCCCATGCATTGATTGTACTGGTAAAGTCGATCAACTGAGCTGCTTTGCATGATTCATCATCGAACGGTTGTAACGCAAAATTGAGTGCAATAACAGACTAACAGTATCGTGCATCAAAGTGAGAGAAGAAGACTCATTGTTTGTAGTAATTTGTGCGAAACTGGAGGTGAAGCTTAGCTTTTGGATCAATCCATTCGATTTTACCAACGTTGAAAACATTGATTATATTGCGTAACGGTTTCGCATCCTTGAAGACTGCTTATTTGCGATCGAAGTGCTTTTGTTCGTTCAGCGACAAGGAACTCTGTGTATCTGGGTCCCATCAGCGATGCGTCCATTTCTTTTTCTTCATTGAGATGTGAGCTGAAACCGAGTCGTGCATTACGGGCTAGTCCAACAAGACAGAACTAGATATCGGTTATCTTCCTGTTGCGTATGGAATAGGGCTTGTAAACAAATTTCCGAGCGAGCAATTGTGTGAATATTGGCGGGGAGCTTTCGAAGAGATGCGTTGGGTCTTAACCAATCTCTTTGGCCAAGCAATGGAACCTTTGATATCGATTTTGTAAAGAACAACTAGCACAACCAATGAAATGCCAGGGAAGAACGATTCAAAGATTGGTTGGATGACTCCGGGTTGCAAAAGTTGATATCGCGACTGAATTGTCTGAGTTCACAGAACGGATGAGTTTAACTGACGCTGTCCACATTGCTTTTTCAATGTGTTTGATGTGAAACAGATTTTTCTACTTTGAGATTTGAGGTTATTGTCTGCTGTGGGAACTTTATCTGAACTACTTGTCAGTGGGGCTATGCGGACAATTATTTTGTGGTAATTGGTGCTGAAGCAATCCGTTTATATCAATTAGGTGCTTCGTTATGTGTGCATAACCCTAGGACTTCTCTTAGTGGAGTTTCGTTCAGCTAGACGGCGGGCATTGCTTCAAGTTATACATAGTTGAAGAAAATGCAGTCCCTGAACAGGGACAAACAATAGGTGAGATAAGAGACATGTAATGAAATATGTGATATCAATATGGAAACCAATTATACCAACTATATAGTTTATTTGGGTGTTTTAGATTGGAAAGAAGAGCGGTGAGAGGGGAATGGAAAAAGTGACCGAAGATCAGAGGGATGCACGAGAGAGCGCTCGCTACATTTTTTCAGGGCTCTTGGTGCTGACACAGCCACGCATCACTCCACTGTTCCTTTCGGTTAGAATCGAATAGATCACAACGAAAGAAGCTGGATACTTTAAACCCCCGGGCCAACATTGTGTCATGTTCACGATTTTATCCTGGTCAATCAAAAGCAGTTGCGATAAAATGTACTCGGGGCAATGTGACCATGTTCTGTTTGTGAAGAAAAAATGTTGGTAAGCGTGAACGCTACATGATCTGGCATCGCCTACGGCCACTGGCCCCGGAATTATGCTTCTTCTTTCTTTCTGTTTGGATTTCTGCGACATCTTCAGCTCGCACAAGACCATCTGAAATGTAGAACAGTAATGATATTCGGAATATATTCAATAGAGCATCTATACACTAATAGTCGGTGTGGTCAATGCAATTTTTGTGTAGTGTCTTCTCTGGTAATGCGACTTTTTGCGTAGCATACTAAAGTGGTCGATACGAAGCTCAATGCCAACAAGGAATACCTAAAGTTGTCAGAGATTGGGTATATTTCGACGAAGCGCAGGGGGAGAGTGAACCTCTGTTTAACTCACGGGACAATTTAACTGTGCCTATATATCCCTTCTTGCGTGTTAATACATCACAATAACAACTGCACTGCTGTCGGTTCGCCTCAGTGTGACCAACCAACGAGATAGGGTGGCTTTTGCAACCCAGCCTGAAGGACGCAGATACCCTTACACCTAAGAGCTCTCTGTACATACCTCCACTAAACGTCATCAGTTGAGCTCCATGTGATTTTCTCCAACCCCGTAGTGATGCAGTAGGCAGCTGTCAGGTATGCATGCAATGTGTTTTAAACGGCAAAGCTTACTGATCTGACATAATAGCGAATTTTTCCTCGCTCACTCCATCCCACCTGCTCGAGCCTTGAAAATGCTTGCAGTTGTGCTCGTTATTGCACCACCTATGATCACAAAACTGTACAAGAAGCAGTTAATNTTAATTTTATCCAATTCTTGGTCATCTGTAGCTTCAAAGCAGCACCAAAATAGACCCAGTCGTGCAGCATCAGTTTGCACCAAGTCGAAAGAAATATATCAGTTTGAGGGAATTGCATTAAGCCCACTGGAACACAATGGTCAAAAACGTGCTGCAACTGTGTGATATTGATAACGTGTTGTGCTCTCTTTTCCGGGCATTTGTACCATGCGGTAATAACTTGTGATATTCGTGTATCGTGACACTGAAGTTACGGAAGCTCCATCCGTCGGAATGCATAGGGCGATTCCTTGACTTGGCTAACTTAATCATACTGTTTGGATCTCAAGTTGACGAGTACTCATGTCATGTGAAAACAATTCAGTGTAGGATTGTCGCACAATCTGTCTCTAACGATTTCCTTGCATTTCAAGTGTCTTAGGTAGTTTAATAGGGTTGATGTATTGCTTGAGCCATGGCCAAACAAATTATTTTCTCAACCAATCACATTATGAAATGATCGGGAGCTTCGGTAGAATTCGAATTCACTCATTGTAGTTTGCCTGTGCCTTTGTGCAACGTACTATCTACCAAATGACCTGGGCTACGTCCACCGTTGTCCCTATTCACTTACGTAGGAGCTGGATGCCATGACTGTCCTGGCATCACGAGTCAATCGAACGAACTCCATTGAAAAGGAAGTTTATTCTAGTTTAATTATTCGACAATTTTTAATGCAGTATAATCATCTACGAGCCGGTATCCAGCAAATGGACATACCCACCGTAGGCGGCGTCCGTGGGATGGTTAAACTGGCACCCGCCTCCGAAAGGCTCAATATGATCGGGGTGGATTTCTAGGGTTGTGGCTGTTCACCCTTCCCTCGCGAAATGCGACCAAGCGTCTCAAATAGCCCCTGCTGAGGAAGCCCTGCTCACTGCCTCGTCGCGGAGGAGTTTTCCCACCAAAGTGAGAGGGCGAAAAGTCGACATCCGGGGCTAGAACCGGATTGGCGGACCACTGGTAGTTTACCTAAGTGAGTTGGCCATAATCCCTGATTCGAAACCAACCAAGAGGAAGCTTATGAACCACACCGTCATCGGTGTGGCAGTGGTTACCGGCATCAAGGTGTTTTGGGCACCTTAGACGTTTAACCCCGTCCGAAGGGCGTATAATCAGATGAACTAGACACCAGCCCCCAGTGGATTGCGGTTTTCCCACATCATCCCCTACCTTGCTTTAGTTAGCCGAAGGCTCCGGTTGTGTATTCCTCAAGAAAATTCATCTGTCTTGGCCTGNTGGCCTGGGAAACCTGGCATTATCCCGCCCACAAGCAAATCATGGAACGTTTATCTTTTTCATAAAATTATTGTACCATGTTTTGTTGGCAGTCTGACGTCAGGTGTGTGTGAAATAGAAGGTATACACATATTATATACGTATAAATTATATATAGTGGCACCATTGGTGGTGAACTGCACATAATCGAAGTATATGTGAAACTCATCGTAAATTTAAATAAATAATTATAATTACTGTCCATTGTAAAGTTGTGAGTACACAAACATACGAAGCATCTGCTCCGTAGTAAGTAAAGTTCAGTTGAATAAAGCAGGAGTAGGCCATGAGTGAGACTAGCAACTAACAAACAACTACTAATCGTGGACGATGGATGGGACTTACATTCACCATGTTGATTCTGTACCAGAATTCGTGGGCCCATGTAAACTTGAATAACGCGTAACACATCACCCTTGTTGACGGGAAGCAGACCTGCTTCCCTTAAGTCGAATTCACAAGGTCCCGCAGGTTCGTGAACACTTTTCAAATCGTAGGTAATCGGGCAATGGGGATTTCGTTTGCGGATCGCTTCAACTGTACAGATTGATTTCGTGTCATGATTGTCTGGTAACTGTCAAATCGGAAGTGAGAATTGGACCGGTAAGTCTCACACAAAATATCCAGTTTGTTTTTAAATGGATGTTGACTACCGCTGACACGAAGACTGTCTTAAACAGGGAAAGGAAGTTTAGACATGCGGTACCAAATTGATGTTTTTCCAAGTACATGGTGATTCTGAATGTCTAAAATTCCGTGAACTACACAGTCTCAAATACTTCTCGGTTACAAAATCCACGAAGTACCTATACGACTAGTGACCTATGTGGTGAAATAGGTTGTAAATAATTAATGGTCGTTTGGTTCCTCATTTAACTCACAGTTACGCAATTGCGAGTAATGATTTGGTATATTTGATATAGATTTGAAATGACAGTCGTTCAGACTTTAGCTTCCCGTTCAATCGTCAGTTCTTCCATTCAAACATGCACTGGACTCGAGTTTTGCTTTCATCGGAGCTCATCAGTAGTGCATATCTACCATCCCGCCCGGGCCCATGAACCGCATGGAAGGTGCGCGTGTGGGTGTGGGTGTTCCCACTGTGTCAACTAGCTCATACCAATTCCTTTTTTTGTTCAATCGTCGTCTTCACCGGCAGGAAGAACTGAGAATCGAGCGTGAACAATGGAGGATGGTAAGTTCCAATAAAAAAACGAATAGTCCTCAAGCCTGCTGTACAGTCGGAGTGAGGACAACTGAATGCTTTATTTGAGGTGGTATTTGGGAGGGAAGATAAGAGAAGAAGAAGAAAGGGTGTTGCACCATTGCGCGGTATTTATATAAAAACATTCTGAGTGATCCCATTCGACAGGTTATTTTGTTTTACCCGTGGTGCGATTGACTCAACGGTAGTAAATCCACAGGACGCAAGTGTACAAGAGCAAAACTGGTGAGAATAACAGAGGTCACGAGAACATGATGGTGATAGCAAGGTCATAAAAGTGATGGATGTTAGGAAATAATAAACAACAAGAATTTAGACTGATCGGAATGGCGAACAAAAGAAGCAACGCTCTCCTACAGCATTCCGAAGTGGGACGCACAATGAGCGATAGATATGTAAGGAAACCCCTGGAGTGCATGTAGTATAAGTTCAGAAATATAGGAAAATAGGTATAGAGAACAGGGCAAATCAATGACCAAGTAATACTTTTTTAAGTTGCCGATCACAGTAAATAAGAATTTATATGCAATTTAGGTGCTTATTCGGTTCGTTGAAGAAGAGTCTATTTATAATGCCCCAGGCAAGGCAATCGATCAGGTTGGAATTGAAAGAAGCACATGCACACGATCGATCTAATGTGACGTCGTACACGGATGTAGGGGGAAAATAACAACGCTGAGAGACTTCATCGGTGAGAACATGCATACAGGGGGGGGGAATGAAACGTTCTAAATAAAAGACCTGCAGTCATAGGGAGGAGATTGGTGAAGGCAAGTACGCCAGAGTTTAAGGGGTTACTCTCGAAAATACTACGGCAACATAAGCCAAGATGAACAAAAGCAGAATAGCACAAAAGTAGTGAAGCACTGGAAATTTCCAAATTAGGAATTCAGTTATGCGAAACTGGATTATACGCATTGGAAATATCGACGTTAACGCGGACCAGATATT